AAAGAGGGTCAATCATATTTCGCTTCTGAGTGGGGAAGCCCTTCAGATGGTTCCAAGTGCCAGCTAACTTGGACTCGCCTGCCACGGGGCTATTATAACAGTCCAACAGCTTTTGCTGCAGCACTTGCCCAGGATCTTAAAGACTTTGACACCCAACAAGCTTTCCTTTTGCAATATGGGGATGATTTATTGATAATGGGGAAAAAACAGAAGGATGTTGAAAGTACTTCAATCGCCCTCCTCAATCACTTGGCTGAAAAGGGATACACAGTATCTAGGAGGAAAGTCCAATGGGCCACTCAAGAAGTATAGGACCTGGATTTTGCTCTGAGCAAAGACTGCCGTTTACTCCATGAGAGCCGCCTGCAAGCCATCTCAGCCCTGCCTGTGCCAACTAATGTTAAGCAGCTGCAAACTTTTTGGGCATCACTGTCTATGCACGATTGTGGATTCCGATGTATTCTGTTATTGCACCCCTTTATCAATTGACCCAAAAGGACATGGCCTGGGATTGGACAGGAGAACACCAGAAAGCATGGCAGGGCTTGAAAGATGCACTAGCTCTGGCTTTGGCTTTGGCTTTGGCTTTGCCTGACCAGAGGACAGGCTTTGAACTTTCTGACTCTGAAATGAAGGGATATGCCCTTGGCGTTTTACTGCCAGGACCGGGTCCTGAAAGGGTTCCTGTCGCTTGCCTATCTAAAGGACTGGATCCAGTAGCTAGAGGATGGCCAGCCTGTCTCCAATCTGTTGCAGCCACAGCCATTCTCATCCAAGAGACACAAAATAACTTGGGGGGCACCCCTTAACGTCGATATGCCTCGTTCAATTCAGACTCTCCATGAGCAGAAACACCCAGCATGGGCCACCTCATGCCGGCTCTCTAAGCATGCAAGGCAGATTTAGAATCACAGATTCACAGATATGAGAGGCTAAACCCAGCCACCCTCCTGCCTCCCCCCTCCCCCCACCCGAGGATGGTCCCAAGCACGACTGTTTAACTGTTTTGGAATCTGTGGTGGGCATTCATGCAGATCTTAGGACTGAGCCTTTTGACAATCCCGAGTCTCAACTCTGGACTGATAGCTCCTCATTTGTCAAAAATGGAAAAAGATGCACAGGACTGGCTATAGTTTCCAAAGATGGGCCCCTTCTCCTACGACAGCTCCCCTCTCACTGGTCTGCTCAAGCGGCTGAGCTCCTAGCTCTGACTGAAGCAGGCCATTTGTCTGCGCACCAACATTTATACTGATAGTCGTTATGCATTTTTGGCTGCACACACCCATACAGCTCTGTGGAAAGCCCGTGGCTTTACAGGCACTGAGGGGAAAAGTTTAAAGATGAAGCCTTTGCTAGAAAAATGGCTGTCAGAAAACCATCTCAGTTAGCCATCACTCACTGCCCAGGCAGGCCATAGTGAGATTTCCCAAGGAAACAGGGCACCTGATTATTGGGCCCACCAAGCCGTTGAATCGGGCCCTGCTCTCCATTCCGAAGAATCCAGCCTCTTAGCTTTGCTTCCCTGTGATCCCAAACTATATGGTGTTAAGTATCAACTGCACCCTGACAGAAAGTGGTGTGATGGGCATTGTTGTTGTCCAAAACAGAATCCTGCTTTACAGTCCCTCTCTGAGTGGCTTACAAATGTCAGCCTCTTGCCCCCAACAATCTAGGTCCTCATTTTACCAGCCTCTTTTCTATTCTCTCCTGGTCTGTCTACCTGAGAGGGACAGTCCTGCAAACAGACTAGGGGAGGATGTTTGACCCGGATGGCATTGCGCTAAGCATTCAAAAGGGAGCTTTATAGTCAATAACAAATAACATTAAAAACACATGAGCCGATTAGGATTTTTCCACAAAACTAGAAGAGCATGCTGTTTCTGGGCAACAGCTGAATTTAACCCTGTCAGCCAACTGGTCCCACGTCCTCCAAAGCAGTTTGCCCAACAAGCCCTTTTCCAGCCCCTTTTCACCCCAGCAGGATAAAGAACATAAGAAAATCCTGAGCCTCTTTTGGCAAGCAAGGGCTGGAAACGAGCCCTCCATTTCTCTGTAGTTCTTAGAAATGCAGTGAGAACATATTCTTTCTTCTTTAGAGTCAAGTGTGATTGGGCCCACAAGGACCCACAAGGAATTTGTCTCGAGTGCATAAGCTCTCACTGTACATACAAACAACTGTTATAAATCATAAGATACAAACAACAGAGTGATAAAAGAAGACACCAATAGGAGAGGGTAATAGAAGGACAATCTTTGGAAATCTTTGGAGAGCTGAGCTCCAAACCACCAGGCCCTCCACTTAACCAAGCACAGAGAGTATCTTAGCTGCTGCCATGCCGTCCGCTGCTCACCAGATCAAAATGCCCCCACCCTCAGATTCACCTCCCCAGGGCAGCCCTCTAAGCAGAACAGACTGGAAAATCAACTCAACAGGTAGCCTGAAGCTGTTTCTATTTTGATGGCGTAGAAGAACAGAATCCTGCAAACATGACTGTGCTCCTCCTCATGGTTCAGTGAATGAGGGCTTCCGAATATGATCGCGTGGACTTCTGGATTTTAAAAATGCTTCAACCCTTTTGCCTTGCAAGGGATCACCGTCAAGCTTGCCCTCTCTGCTTTCCACACCTGCTCTGTGTCCCCACCACCACCACCCAGAACCAGGCACACCAGAGGGGCCCTTCGTGGCGTATCTTGGGGGCCCTGTCCCCGCCGAGTAACAGCAGGCACCACCACCACAATCTTCCCTGGAGCCAACTTTTTCTGCACCTCTTTGAGCAGATGGTCACTTTCCATGTTCTCATTCTCTCATTTCAAGGAGGCCAACCATTGGCACTGCCCACCTCTTATGTGGCCCAGCTTCTTCTCTGTGATTGGCATCTTTGGGCAGCATGTCCCACGCATTTCCATTCTTTTCTCCTGCCTCTTTCCTTCTTCCATCCAGTGCTATATGTTCTCCAATGGATTTTTCCAGCATTATTGCAGCCCTCCCTCCTCCCTTGAGCCACCTCTGAGCTAAGGACCCTCACGCTGAGCAGGGCTGTGCAATTTCATCATCTCAACGCGGCAACAACAGCAACTCAACCCCATGACAGCACCTCCTTAAGGGGACCCACAGACTCCAGGGGAATGGAGCAGCAAAAAAGTTGGGCAGCCGGAGGGCCAGAAAAGGCATATTCCCCTCAACTACTGGAATCACAAAGCAATTGGGCCACCAGGTTTGCCCTACCATTATAAGGTCTGGCTTGGAAGGGGCTTTGGAGGCCTTCTAGTCAAACCTCCTGCCCAGGCCAGGAAATCCTCACAATATCCCAGACAGGGGCCCTGTCTGGCTTGAGAAACCCCAGAGATAGAGCACCCACAACTAAGAAGGCTGCTTCATAATGGTCATTGTCGGAAAATCTCTCCTTCCTTTGAGTTTGGCCCTCCCTACCTAACCTGCTCCGGTGAGCCCCCATCCAGCAGCCCTCAGAAGCCTTGCAGAAGAGCCCCCCAGGTTCTCCTCCTCAGGCATTTCAGTGCTCTCTGAGGATCCCCCTCCCCTCCAGGGAGATCCCAGGGCATTTGCCCAGCATGGCCCAGAGTGGAAGGGCTGCCCTTCCTGGTCCTCCCTCCTTTGAGGCAGCCTGGCTGCACTGGCCCAACTGAGCGTTGGCAGAATCAGTGGTGCCTCGTCTCTGGCTCAGCCAGCTATCTGACACCTCTGTGCACCTGCCTTTCCCTACCTGTGGCGGGCCTTCACTTCTCACTATTACACAACCTGTGCTTAGCTATGACCCAGGGTTCAAGTCTCTCAAGATCCTTGGGAGTCTCGAGCTGCTTCCTGATGGATTAGCAATCTCTCTCTCCCCGCCACCACGACCACCTGTGCCTGTGCCTTTTTTCATCTGCGTCAAAGACGCCTGCTGGGGATTCCTATGCAGGGAGAGTTTAAGGGTCAGAAAGAGGGAAGAAGCCCCCAAACTGCAGGGGAGCCCATTCTGAGGGGGCTTCTCAGCTCCCGTGCTCAGCCTTCCTTTTCTGCAGTGTCAGCAAAGACAGGGAGGGTCATTAAACTCAATTAAAACATTTAATCTCCCTTTCCACTCAAAGAGCAGCTTAATGCCTGGGGCTACCCCAGAAGCCACATACCTGACTCGTCCCCCTTCCTGGATATGCCAAGAGTCCCTCCCAGAATTCCTTGGTCATTTTTAAATAACATTGATCAAATTTCTATTTGGAAAGGAAAGCTCATGTGGGGGGATTGTTACTTAGATGGGCAGGTTATAAACAATTCCAGCCAATAAAGGCATCAAGAAAGTGGGTTCAGCCCAGCTGCCTTTCTCCTCCACCCGGCCCCAGCCTGGGATGCGGGGGGGGGGGGGAGGGGGGGCAAGGCCATCCAGGACTTACATCCAGTGCAGAAAGATTGCATGAGGCTGCTGGAAACATTTCTGGACGTTGCCATTGGAACTGCAACTGCAAATCTCTGGCAAGGAAAAGTCGCGTGTGGTTGGCCCTGAAACATCTCCGCCAGCCGCTAGCTGCTGGCCAGGCACAATTGAAGGTGCTGCCTTTGAAGCCTGAAACAGCTGGGTTGGGCAGGTGGCGGTTCCAGCTGTTCAGAGGAGCAGCAGCCTCCCCCACCCACCACAGTTCTCCAGAAACATCAACAACGGGGTGTCAGAGGGACTGGCTTCTCTTAATCTACTTGGATTTTTTGACAAACCCCACAGCAAAACCTCCCTGCACATTTAACGGAGCGGAGACAGCCTGACTGGGCCGGAGATGCTCAGCAGGTCGGGTTGCCTGGGCAGAAATCCAGAGGTCCTGCCTACCAGCGTCTGCTTGCAAAACCAGACTCCCAGCTCTCTGACCAGCTGTCCAAGTAACCAGCCCACTTTACAACAAGCACCAAAATAAAGTACCAGAGGCACCAAGACCACAACTGTTTCTTCAAAAAAGGAGCGATCCGCTTCCCTGGGCAGGGAAGCCAACGGCAGCTGCTCTGCAGGAGAACTCACCGCAGCTGGGAGTGGAGCTTCGTGGCTTTTGAGTTGAAGTCTTCCCAGACAGGGTAGGAGCTCTGGAAGACAAGGAGAAAAGAGGTTGAGTACCCCCGGCCGGGACGCCTCTCCGTTCCCTGGGTAACAGCAGAGACCTGTAAGGCAGGAGGGGGGAAAGGCTGCTCCTTTCCCTGGGTGCCAGAAAGGTCCTGCTGGAGCCAACGCCTTCCCCCAAGTCAGAAGCTGAAATTTGCAGATAATACCAAGCTGGCAGGAATAGCTAACACCCTAGAACAGTGGCCCCCAACCATTTTTTGTGCCACAGCCCAGTACCGGCATCACAAAATGATCCGCAGCCCGGTACCAGCATCAGCACGCATGACAAGGCAAGGCAAGCTGAGCAACCAGCCAGCCAGCTGTCCCCCGCTTCTCCCCACCACCTTCAACTCCTCCTATGTACCTTTTTTGTGCTTTTTTGTGCTTTCTTAATCTCCTCCGCCATCAGGACGGCTCTTCGTTCAAAGCCGCCCCCCCCTTCGATGAAACTAAGGCGCGAGGATTCCTTCAGGACCCAAACACCGCTTTCTAACCGGAAAAGCTCACCCGGAAGCACTTTCTCGTCGAAACAAGATGGTGGCACCCAGCAAACCGGCAGCCCAGTAGAAAATGATCCACGGACCGCTACCGGTCCGGGGCCCGGTGGTTGGGGACCCCTGCCCTAGAAGATAGGCTTGGACTAGAACACTGGGCCATATCTAACAAAATGAAATTCAATGCAGAGAAAAGTAAAGTCTTACAATTAAGCAAGAAAAACCAAAAGGACACATATAGACTGGGTGAAACCAGGCTCAATAGCAATAACTGTGAGAGGGATCTTGGAGTCTTAGTGGACAACCAGTTAAATAGGAGCCAGGAGTGTGCAGCAGCAGCAGCCCAAAAGCCAATGCAATCCTAAGTTGTATTAACAGAGGGATACAATCAAGAATAAGGGAGGTGCTAATACCACTCTGTAAAGCCTTAGTAAGACCACACCTAGAGTACTGCATCCAGTTTTGGTCACCACACTATAAAAAAGACGTTGAGACTCTAGAAAAAGTACAGAGAAGAGCAACCAGGATGATTGTGGACTGGAGGCTAAAACACATGATGACCAGTTGCAGAGACTGGGCCTGGCTAGTCTAGTGAAGAGAAGGACTAGGGGAGACAGGATAGCAGTCTTCCAATATCTGAGGAGTTGCCACGGAGAGGAGGAAGGGGTCAAGCTATTTTCGAAAGCACTCAGAATAATGGCTGGAAACTGATCAAGGAGAGATTTAACCTGGAAATAAGGAGAAACTTTCTGACAGTAAGAACAATCAACCAATGGAACAGAAGTTGCCCTCGGAGGTTGTGGGAGGTTCATCTCTTGAGACCTTCAAGAAGAGCTTGGACTCTCATTTGTCAGAAATGGTGTAGGGTCTCCTGCTTGGGAGGGGGTGTCCCTTCAAACTCTGTTAGTCTGTAAATCTGCGTTTGGTGTCCATTGGCTTCCATGTCTACTTATTAACTATTATTACGGGCTGTTATTTACTTTCTTTAAAGTAAATCCATGAATAGCTGGCATGCTGTGAAGGACAGCTATTGGGAGCCTGCCTGACAAGCCCACTGCAAAGCAAAAGCTTTAGTGGAAACACTTGTCTGGACCCAGAGCAGGGGGCAGGGCCTGCCCAAAGCCCCTGCCTGCTCTTGGCCTGGCTGTGAAGAGGCCAAAGACGAAGACTCATCGTCCCAACAGGCCGGACATGGAAGATGTTGCCAGGAGCAGATTTCGCCTGATCTTAGAAGAAAGGGGCTAATCCCCCGATCCCTCTGAGTGACTGGTGGGGAGGGCTGCCTGAGCTGGGCTCTGATGCCCCTTTCTGCTCGAAAGCTCTCCGTGGGGATCAGCACCTCATCTGGGCCTGGGCCACTTGCGCCTCCCTCTGGGGCCGCTCCTTTGGGCTCCAGTATGGGGAGGATTCTCGCCCTGGGCTTTGCGTGACCTGAATTGCCTGCATTGGCAGCATGGCAATCCACAGGCGCCCAAGTCAGTGGGGGCGAATGGAGGAGTGAAGCAGCCCAGCCTCTCTCTGGCTGCGCCCTTCCCCAGGACCCGAGGTGCTGCTCTGCCTGCAAAGCCAGGAGCCTCCTCCTCCTCCTCCTCCTCCACCTAGCAGCCCTCATTTCAGCAGGGCAGGGGGAGAAGTGCTGAAGTGCCCCCTCCCCAGGCCTGAGCTTCTTTTAGTGTTCCTGTGGAAGAATGCTGAGCACTTCCAAAAGCCAGCAGACGCAAGGTTTTTCCAAGACTGGATCCAAAGCAGAGATGGGGCTCTAAACTCAGGAGTTCCCGTTCGGCCCCTCTCCTTCTGCCCACTCCCAGCAGGAGGAAAGCCCCCGGCCCCAAGCTGATGAGAAACACCTGATCTCCTCCCTTCACACACAAAAAGGTGGCAGAATATCAAGACCCCCCACTTTCAACAACTAACTGGGCTTTTTAGTTTGCCTGAAATGAGCCTCCCAGCAAGTTGAGTCTCCTTCCCTTCCCAGCTGCTCTTCACCTGGGTGGCTGCGAAAGACGGACCCCTGACGGGACTGAGTGGGGAATGCTGAGGAGCCAGGCAGGGGGAGAGGTCAGAAGGAGCCTCCTTCCTTGCCATCAGGCATGCCGTCTCCTCCTCTACCCAAAACTTTCCATTATTGGAACAAAGAAATGAATAATGCTGCAATCATCGCATTCCTGGCAGGCTGTTATGCCAAGAAAGAGCATCGAGCTCTTTTGTGGGGATGCTGGAATACAGAGCAGGTTTCCTCGGGGGGGGGGGGGGGGGAGGGGCTGCATTGCTGCCTTTGGATTGGTGCTGGGTTGGTCCCCACAAACAACACCTCGGAGTTGAGTCCAGTTGAAGCAGAACCCGTGTCGTCACATCAATCCGGCTGCCCTGTCTCTGCATGAAGCAGGGGATGGATAACTATCCATGGGAGATGAAATCAATGAGACCCACTCAGCCAGACAATGCTGTGGAAAAGGCAGGCAACATCTGGGAAGCCACAAGAACGAGGACATCCGAGCATTTCCCCAAGCGATGGATGGTCCCTGGAGGCCCTGATCCTCCTCCTGTGGAAAAGGACCCATCAATGGGAGCAGAGTCTTAAGGTGGACTGGCTAGACCCAGCCAGAAACTGTAAGGACAGCCAGAGCCTTCCCATGGACCAAGGTGCCTGGTTCTGGTTCTGGTTCTGGTTCCAAAACAGAAACATAATTTGGCCAGACAGATTTCAAGTTCGGTAATATGAATGGGAGTGAAATAATGGTTTTACTTCAGAAAATGGCAAATCTATCAAAGACGGAAAGTTACGTTTGCTTCTTTGAATAAATACACGCAAAGATTAGGACCAATGGTGCTATGAAAATGTTCATATTTATTTCTTAGATTTACAGGCTGTGGAATCGGACCAACTCATACAACCTTCCGTTTACTTTTAAGGAGAGGAAGAATGTTTGTTTAAAAGAGAAGACACAAATTACTGAAAGATGTGCAAAGATCGGGATGGGGTGGAAAGATATTTTACTGATAAAAGAGACACGGAGAACAGAGGAGAGGAACCAGGGATGCACCAGCAGTTTCAAAGGAGGAAACGTATGAGAAATCGGGCCAGGGGGCCGGTCTAAACTGCCATGAAGGAGAAACCATCTTGCAAGCTGCTCAGGAGTCAGAGAGGCGAGATGGACAAATGCAGGAAGAGGGATTCTTGTTGAGCAGCCAGGCCCAACCTGGGCGTCCTGAGCAGGGGATGGAAAGCTGTGGGGGGCCTGGGCAAATGGGGGGATTCTGGCACAGGGGCCCAAGCAGACAAACAGCTCAAGGGGAAAAGTCTTGCAAGAAGAGCCTCCTGCAGCCCAACGGCTGCCCAAGAACACGGACGTGGGCTAGAAGCGGGTAGCCCAAGCGAGGGCTGCTTGGCAGAGAGTTGGGAAGCTCCTAGGAGTGGGCTGGGGAACTGCGCCCTGGAGGCAGAGCGCGTTGGGACCCACTTCTCAGCCTGCCGATTCCAGGGCCGCCAGAGCATCGGGCAGAGAGGCAAGAGCTGGGGGGCCTGGGGGAATCGAGCCCTCCCTCATCATGGAACTTAGGGCCTTGGAGCTGCTTCGGGCTTTGCAATCGGGCTGGTGCAAAGTGAACCGTGGGAGAGCGTCAACACACCCTGGAAGATGGCAGCTAGGAGGGCTCCACCCGAAACTCCTGGGACCGGGGGGGGGGCGGGTAAGCTGGGAGCAATTGGGAAGCGGGGGGGTAGGGGGAGGACGAGCACACAGAGTAATTGGGAGATTTGCCAAGACTCCAAAGACAAGCCAAGTTACCTGTAGGCGCGCTCTCTCTCTCTCCCCCATCTCTCTCTCTCTCTCTCACACACACAGAGGAAAATGACAGTGCAGGGAAGGAGGAGCACGAGGAGAAGGAGCTTCACGGAAAACCACTCTGCCAGCCTCTCATGCAGGTGCAGGGAAGGCAGGCCTGGAGACCAGAGAGAAAAACCTTCTGGGGCAGCAGAGGGTCTGCATGGCCATCCATCCAGGCTGGAAGGGGCCAAGTCGGGGGAGCAAGTGAGGGCAGGGGGCCTGCAAGAACCTGCAGGGACAGGGACGACCAGGAGGGAGCTGGACTGGCTGAACAGAGACATTTTGCCCCTAGGCCTTCTGAAAACAATTGGGAAACCAGGACATGGGAAATGGGGAGACTTTTAGAACTGTGATGACGAACCTATGGCATGCCAGAAGTGCCAGAAGTGGCATGCAGAGCCATCTCTCCAGACATGCCAGTCGTCGCTGTTGTTCTTCCAGGTTCTGGCGTGCGCATGCCAGCTGGTCTTTGCGCGCAGGGAGTGCTGGAAACTGGGAGGGCAACTCCCTGAGCTGCTCTTTTAGTTTCCGGTGCACTCCCGTTTCGGCACTCGGTGCTGAAAAGGTTCGCCAACTGCTTTAGAACCCCCCCTTCAGTAGGTAAAACCCCAACTCATGTTTGTGTAAGGACAGAGAGAAGGGAGCCAAGGGAGCCTCTGGTTC